CGGCTGCTTACGCGTTTTGGGTTGTCTGCTATTTGCGGCTTCTTGTTGATCTCGCATCCGTAGAGGATTGGTCTGACTTCGGCTTATGTTTCGCGTTGATACCATTAGTCACTGAAAAATCAGCTTTATTTGTAACAGGAACAGTCGTTCCCACAGATGGCGTCAAACTGATGGTGTTAGCGCACTTTTACAAAAACTAAGCTTAGATTACGTTAGGTTGCTAAGATGATGCCATAATATCTAGGGTTTTGAAGTTAAGACAACAGAATTATAATGGTTTACCAATTTGGGAGCTCGGCTAGTCCACTCTAGAATGGAGGCTCTTGCTTCTTTTTTTTTATTCACGGTGATTACAAGGTTGCTATGACTTCTTTTTGCTACTCGGTTTTTTTTTTTCTATTAGGGGGTGTTACCTTGCATTTATAAGGTCATTTCCTGCTAAGAAGGATCTTAGCCGAGATTTTTGCCCTTATTTCATGGGTTTTTCCTTAATTCTAGGAGAAGATTTTGATTGGTTGAGATTGAGTGTCTTGATTACAGTTCCTAACGCTTTAGGATCCTCTCGTGGTTATCCGGCTATTATTTTGCCTTAAGAGACACTCGGCCCTTACCCTCTGACCTCTGCTAATGTGCCTGAGCTCCAGAGCTTAGCACTTGAAATTTATTTTAGGTATCATCGTAACTAAAACAAATTACCTGATCAAGCTATAGACCAATGGTTGCACAGTTCCAATAAACAAAGCTGGGGCGTCTGATAGAAAAGGGTGAAGAGAGAAAGGCATTTTATTGATAATTAAATTCTACAATTGAATTCCAATAATGGCCAAAGCAATGGAACCCTGAAGGACAATTACAGAGAGACAGAGGAAAATGGAGATGGAGAAGGTGAAGAGAGGGAGGACTGAGCGGAGAATACTCAGAAGAGAGGGTGAGAGAGATAAGTAACGACAGAGGAGTTATGAGGCAGGCGAGAGAGAGAATAACAGCAGAAAACAATAAGAGGAAGTAAGGGTTAGTTGATGAGTTATGTTTAAGAAGGCATTAATTTAGATGAATAATAATAGTATGTTAGGAGGGGAGAGAGCGAGAGAGATGGAGAAGTAATGGCAGCAAAGCTTAGAGACATAATAACGGTGAATGATGATTTAGGTTTAGGTCAGCATTAATTTTGAAGGATAGGATTGATATATTTGTTGCTTTGGGGGATAAAAATGAAAAAAAAATGTTTTTTTAAAGATGTTGATATTTTAAAGTGATATGTATATATATATACGTCCAAAATAAAAACTATTTTTTGTTATAAGTTTGTTATGATTGTAACAAATAAATGATTGCCGGCGAACCACATCCGTTTCATTTTTTTTTTATTTTTAATTCAGATATTTTGAATTTAAATCTTAATATTTTTTTATGGTAAGATCATGAGAAATTTACTTTTTATAAATATTATAATCTCGGTATGGATGGTTTATCTTTGATCAGTCCGATAAAAGAATTAATCGAAGTGCATATAAATTAATTCAAATACCTCTAATTGTTGAACTACAAGCAAAAGTTAGAATATTGTTAAAAAAATAGATGTATGATACTAAAAGAATACATTTTGGTGCAGTTGTTAAATTCGTTGTGAAAAAAATCTCCTAGCTAAGAGGATGCTTGTGAGACCCAAGCATGCATGACATTGCATTTAAATAAAACTAATGATGAAAGGAAAATTTAATTGAAGTTAAAAAATAAAAGAGATAAGATAATAAAAATAATCATAAATAACGGGGTCAAAATTATATTTTGGCATTAAAACCTTTTATGACTAGAGTAGCATATTACATAAGCGTAGGAGACATCTTTTGGCATATGTCGTCCATCGTCCACGCATTCTCTCTCTCTCGGTTATCAATTCAGCAGCAATAGAAGTTGACATTTCTTCTAGTTTTTCTTGTAGGTTTGATGACAATTGGGGTTTAAAATTCTATTAGTTGGATTAAAAAACTTTTGGAGAAGTAAGCACTACTCTAATTGTTGAAATTGATTATTAAGATCTAAAAATCAATTTTTTTTTAAAGATTGAATGTCATGGTTGTATGCATCTAGTAAGGGCTTGTGTTGATTATAGTCTATTTTATCTTGTTATACTTAGTTTAATGGATTGCTTGCAGAATAATTCCTTAAGATTTAGAAATTTAATTTAGGGTTAATTACAAAATGTCCCCTCCACGTTTGAGTCATGTTGCAATTGACTCCCTCAGGTTTTAAATTCAACAATTTGCCCCCTTAAAGTTTTTTTTGGGACTAAATTAATTGATTTAGTGGGTGAAAAATGTGAACTTCCTAAATTACCCCAACATCAGTTTTTTTTTTCATTTTTGCTTTGTATACAACTCCATCCTAAGTCCAACAGTGCACCCAATGTTCTTCCCAGCTCTAGCCTTTCCTTCCCCCACATGCCAGCTCCGACGAAGCTCTCAATCCCTCCTCTCTCTCTCTCTCTCTCTCTCCTCAAATGGGTGTTGCCCAAAAGTGAGTAGATTTCTTATATGGTTGGGGCTGTTTGGAGGCTATTACTAGGGGTGGGTTTCGGTTTCACCGGATAAGGGAAGGAAGGGTAGTTACTTGAGGGTGGTGTGTATGGATGTTTCGATTTTACTGGTGTTTTGGTGTATTGGTGTTTCGGTTTCATTGAAGGGATTTCAATTGTTTGGGTAGGGGTGGGTTTTGATTTCACTGGAAGGGGAGGGATGTGGGTTTCGATTTTCACTGGGGAGGTGGGTTCATCGGAAGGGGAGGGAGCTGGATTGTTTGGGTGGTGGTGGATTTCGGTTACACTGGAGGGGGAGAGAGTTGGGTTCATCGGAGGGGGAGGGAGGTGGGTTCACCGGAGGGGGAGAGAGTTGGGTTCATCGGAGGGGGAGGGAGGTGGGTTCACCGGAGGGGGAAGGAGGAGGAAGTAGGTGGATTGTTTGGGTGGGGGTGGGTTTCGGTTTCATCGGAGGGGTAGGGAGGTGGGTTCACCAGAGGGGGAGGGAGATAGGTTTTGATTTCTGGTCACCTCTGTTTTCTTCTCCACCTCTGGCACCAGAACCGGCACCGCCATGGCCTTTTCCTCCGCAGCCAGTGGCTTCTCCTCAACAACAACTTCAACTTTCATCTCGTCTTTAACTTCCACCGAAACCTCGTCAATTTTCACTGCTTCTTCGGCGATTTCGGGATGTTTCTTTGTCCTGAGTGTCCCTCGGGTAGCCCTTGACGTTCGCTTCATCCCCGGCCCAGGTGGTGTCGTGGGTTCACTAGAAAGGGAGGGAGGTGTATTCACCGATGGGGAGGAATGTTTAATTTTTATTTTTAATTTTACATAAAATATTAAGATGAGGGTGGTTTTGGGCTTTTAATAAACTTCCGTTAAAGGTTAACTAATGGTAAAAGTTAATTAGAAATTATTCAAACTTAGAGGGGCAAATTGTCAAATTTGAAACCTGAGGGAGTCAATTGCAACATAATCCAAACATGAAAGGGATATTTAATAATTAATCCTTTAATTTAAGTATTTGCATGTCTTGGTGAAATATCTGGATAAATAGGAGTGTATTCGATGGAGTTTTCATCAAGGAAATAAGTAGAATTTCATTCTTAGTTGATGAAATTGTTTAAGTTTTTACAAACTGAAATTATGGTTTAATTGCTGAAAGAACTTAATTAAATTGTCTACATTAATGTCCAAACTTGTTTTGGATGATTGAAAGATTATGAGAGATTGTTAAGAGAGTTTTTGATTGATTTTGAAGTGAGTTTTGGTTTATCAGGAGAAAAATAGATATGGTAATAGTAATCTCGTTGTTGTTGGACAGACCGCACAAAAATGGCGATAACTAGACTAAAAACCCGTTCTAATGGTATAGGATAGACCACCAAATTATATTTTCAGATTCTTTAAATATTTTCTCTATTGTTTATAGTAGAGTTTCATTGTACGATTGTCATTTTTAAGTATTTTCATATATAAATATATTATTATATTATTTTATCAAAGAGATTGATTAATTATAAACTATTGTTTGTATTATGATATTGTTGCATACAAAAAAAAAATCAATGTAATATATATTTGACAATAAAATTTGATCTCCCAACAACATATATATAATAATATAATATAATATATATTGGACTATAAGTTTTTATATAAATAGATTTAAATATCTTAAAATTTGATCAGCCAACAACATGTATATAACAATAGAATATAGACTGAACTTTATTTTTTATATAAATAGGTATAGATATAGAATCTATATGTAAGTGTATTAATAATAAATGAGTCCATAAGAACTTAGAAGTCAAATGTTATTAATAAAATAGTGCTGGTAAGATTGTCATTTTTAAGTATTTGCACATCTAAATATGTTTTTCTATTTTTGTCAAAGAAATTGATTAAATTATTGTTTATATTATAATATAATGATATTGTTAAATAAAAAAAAATCAAATATGACATGTTTGATAGTAAAATTAGATCTACCAACAACATTTATATAATAATAGAACATAGATTGAACTTTATTTTTTTTGTATAAATAGATACTGATATAAAAATTATATGTAAGTGTACTACTAATAAATGAGTCCACAACAATTTGTAAGTTGAATGTTACTAATAAAAGAGTCCAAAAGAACTTAGAAGTCAAATAGTTATTAAAAATAAAAATCAGATGAAAGTAATATTGTGTAGAATTGACTTTATAATAATACTTAGGGATAAATTAAAAAATCAAAATTTTTTTACAGATGCTAACATTTATAAATAGTATAAATTAATCGTACACATTGCAGAATAGAGGACCCATAAAGGAATCCTCACACAATCAACAAATTAAATTCCCTTCAACTAAATTTTAGTATTCTTGTTGCATGTTCATAAAGTTCTCATCTCTGATCAGATATCATTAATACCAATTCCCAAGTTACCCTGAATTAGAAGCATGGGCATGAAGTTAGAGGCCCTTCACCTATTCCTGGTCCCAACTCCCACCAAACCTATTGCACCAAGCCTTTGCCATTATTTGCAAAGTGGCTGCCCTAATTTTCATACCCACTTTCTCATGCTTTGAAACCCGACATTTTGCCATTGCACCAAGCACTGGAACCTAAGCACGATGCCATGAGAACAACGACTATTAGAGAAAAAGAAAAAGGAATATTTTTATTCTTTCCACTCGGATATTGTATGCCATAGAAAGGGAAACTTGGAGTGAGACATGGACCATCATTGTAATAATCTCTAGGCTTTGTTGGCTGGGGAAATCATGTTTTCCAATGACTTATGACAATTCAACATAACATTGAGCTTCAGCTGAAAATATATTCAATGAAACCATAACCTTTCTTTCTTCCTTTTCATGAGTACAACAGAGAGGTTTTCCAACATGCCAATCATGTATTTGGTGTGAAGAACATCTTGGTAGAGCATAAAACAACAACTAAAGTGGGAAAGGATTCATTTAAAATGTAAGAACACAAGCAATTTGTGATTAGACCTTTGTGGCTGAATCTGCTTATCAACAAGCAACTGACCATCATCAAATCACCTTGTCACCAGAAAATATAGTTTGGACCAGTAAATGATTAGAAACATCTTACCATTTGCTTCAGGTACATTTCTCAATGCAATTGCAACAGCGTTGATGACAATGTTGTTCACGGACACTTTGACATCTTATTTTGCTGTAACACATAGAAGGGTGGAACCCTATTCATCATAATGCTTTAAAACAAAGAGTGATGAGGCTGAAATTTGAATCTTATACCTTTAAGCTCCTTTCTAAAAGATAGAAGAGGATCCAGTATAACATCTGTCAGAAACCATCAAATATTTCAGAGCATAAATTCGTGACAGTAAAACGTGTCACTAGTCAATAGAAGTTTTAAAACCTGAGGATAAATATAGATGAGGTGTATTTTGTTTTGATTCCAACAACCTTCTTGCTATCACCTGCAAAACTACTATGAATTTTGAAGCACACTGAACCACTGCAACTTAGATACTCTACAAGAAAGCCCTCGTGAATGCAAATGCAATCAAATTTTGACTAAAACGTGGATCAAAATAAAATGACTGTATTTTATTGTGTCTGGTGTGGATAACACATTAAACACAGACTTAGAAACAACATGTTGCAATTAAAATCCCACATTCTACAATGGGCAAACTTACAAAATGGAAAAAAAATTTTAGCAGAGGTAAAGTACGTGCAAACGATTGACAACCTCTTCAGAATACTCAATCACATTACAACATTCATCCTTGAGTGAAATTCTCGATTATAATCCGAGACGTTACTTGACCACCCAACATTTTCTACAATAATTATAGTCTGCCATCGTGGAATGCCTTCTTCACTTCATTTTAAGTATTCGGGCATTATAGGCAAAACGTTAGATGGGAATTATCTGTGTAAGCAAAGATCCGAGTTCTCCATGTACTGTATAGTTTGTTGATTCGACAACCACATAAGAAACAATCCTAAACCAGCACAACCTTGTAAAGTTTTTCAACGGTCTTATAAGAATTACCTTCCGATTTTGACTATTAGGCAAATCTTCATAAGAATCTTGAGATCTCAATCCTGCCGATTCTGAAGATGTTTGTGGTTGGATTTGAGGTGATGGAGGCATCTTCTCCAGCGATGAAGATATCTTTGGAGATGATTTGCCAGACTTTATTGCAGCTAAAACATCCCCTTTTGTGAGAGTGCCACGAGGACCTGACGCTGTAAATGATGATGCATCCAATCCATGTTCTAAAATTAGCAACTTTGCTGATGGACTAATCCTAGTGAAACTAATTTTCTGTGTTCTCCCTTCATGTTTTGCCTCGTGATGGGTTGGCTTTTCCTCTTTTCCCATCCAATTGCCACTAAAAGATGTCTTCACAGTTTCCAAATCATTTGGCTCCTCAACCTTGCAAAACAGATGACATCAGTTCCCATATACCCAGAACACCTACAATACCTATACAATTTAGAGATAGATATGGATTGTTGGATTCTAGTAATCAAGAAACTGTCAGGAAAACTAAAATGGAAGTAATCCCCATAGCTTCAATTAATGGGCAAAAAATGCAACCTGCAGCTCATGAAAGAAGAAAATTATGCTGGGTGATTTCTGCTGTGCTTGGTCTCTGTGGTCTGTCTTAGATCAGATCAGAGACAAACTCAGTAGATTAACTTTTCAGGTGAGACATGTATATAGAGAGGCAAATTCAGTAGCTGATCATTTGGCCAATAAAGCAGTTCAGAATGGTTTTTCTTCTTCTTTTACTGGGTCTATGCACTTGCCTGCTGCTCTGAAATTAGCTATGTTACAAGATCTGAAGGGTCTGCCTGTGGTAAGGAAAAAGAGGATGTTGGTGCTTGATGACAAGGGTTAAAAGTACTTATGAATGAAAGTAAAATTGGTTCTGATTCTCTTGAAGCATTAAAGCCAATTCATGAAATTTGAGGATACAAAATGGGAATCAGTCCTCTCTCTGCTGTGTTTCTGTTATGGTTTTCTGTCAGCATTTCAGGATTGCAGAGGCCTTTTCAGCTGATCTCTTAAGCAGATTTTTTTTGCTCTAGTGTTTTGTGTTGTTTGGAATGCATGACTGATGTTTGCTGGGATGTTTCTATGCTGTTTGTGCTGATGAATGTTTGAGGTGTGTGCTGTCTGTTATGGACAGTTGGTCTGCGCTGTCTTTTGGGTGCCAGGAGGCAGCTGATGTGCTGACTGTGTATACACTCAGGCAGTGCAGCTGGTTTTGTTCTAGCAGCCGTTTCATCAGTTGCAGCAGGTGTTTAGGTTTAATGCCTTCTCATAGGTGCTGATTTCATGATGCTGTGTCTGTTGCATTTATGGGGTCTGATGTGCTGTTTTCTGTGGCTGTGCTGGGGGGACTGCTGAGCTGTGCTTCTGATTTGGAGCTGGTTCAGCAGTTGTGACTGGCATACTGCTTTGCTGGTTTTCAGCTGCTGTTTTCCAGCTGGAATCTCAGCTGGTTTTTGCGGCTTCCAGATGGTCTTGCTTTTGGTGCTCGCAGCTGGTGGTTTCCTTGGTTTCCCAGCTGGTTTCCAGCTGGATTTATTCTGGATTTTCAGCTGGTCTTTTGCTGGCATTCATTTCCCATTATTAAGACGTTTTTTGTCCTTTTGAAAGCTAAGCCAACAATGGCTTCTCTTGTTTTGTTAAGCTGTGTTTATTTGCTTCCTGTAATATCTTTTCTACTCAATATATTTTTCTCCTTTTAAAAAAAAAAAAAAAAGAAGAAAATTATGCCATACAATTTCAAGCATTGTAACAACTTACTGTTATTGCAATTGGTTGTCCCATGGCCATGTCTTTTGAGCCTTCCGGTGCCAGTATCTTGGCAAGGAACCTGCAGCCAGTAGGATGTAGAAAAATGTAAGAATAATTATTCAGGGGTAGCTCAAATCCAAAGGAGGGCCTGTTTGGTTTGCATCTCAAAAAACAGTATCCGAAAATAATTTTTTAGAAGAATTTTAAGAAAGTGTTCTTGAAAATTTTAGACCTGTTTGATTATATATTTTTGAAAATAGTTTTAAATAACAAAAAATTGTAAAATAATTCACAAAACCCACAATTCTCACCTCTATCTTTCTTTCCCCTCTCTCTGTATTCACAAAACACACACACACACACACGCATATACACACAAACGCGTACACACAGATCTGTATATACATATATCTGAGCACATATCAGTGTATGTACACAGATCTGTGCAGATTTGAAGCTTCAATTGTTGCGAGAGAGAGAAAGACGCAGATCTGAGTACACAAACAGAGAAGACGCTGGAGATCTGTGTGTATGTGTGTCTTGGACCCAGATGCAGAAAATAAAAAAGAACTGGAGAGGACGGAGAAGACGCCAGAGATCGTTGGAGTTCTTGAACCCAAGTTGTGTGTGTGTGTGTGTTTCGTCTGGATTTGCTGAAGTGGAGAGAGAAACTCCAACAATAATGCAGCGATCTTCGTTGCTCCAATCTCCGTTGCACAGCGCTCGTTGCACACACACACACACACACACAGAGAGATGGAGAAAATATAAGGGGAGGGCTTTTATACTTCAACAAAAAAAAATGCATTTTGCTGCTAAGGAATTTTGATGGGTGGACCTCATTAAAGAGGAGAGATTGTTTCCCTTGTTTTCTATTTTGACCTGAAAAGTCAGAAAACATCATTTATATGTTCTCTATTTTTTGTTCTCATTTCTCACTTTTTTTGAAAATTTGTTTTTGGAAATTACTAGCCAAATAACATCTCACAAAATTTTGTGTTTTGAGAACAAAAAAAGGTTTTGAGACACAAACCAAACACCACCTCAGTGTCATTCATCTGCGTCAAAGCAATCACTAAAAAGTCAGGTTCTGAAAAAGTAGCCATCAAGTAGATGCAAAGCTTAAACTTCGAGGCCAATGACATAAAAGGCACCAAAAACTTCATTCTGATGAATATAGTACATAAATAATTCCCAACCTCCCCCCCCCCCCCAAAGAACAAAGTTATTCAAGATAGGTCATAATTATATATAGTAAATAACAAGATTGTGTGGGCACTATTCTAGTGCCACTAGTCTCCTTTACTCAGCCAGAAACGTTGACACATACAGCTATTGGAAACACTCAAGCTCAGTTAAATCCATTTCAAAGTTTCTAGGCTTCTGTTTTGGAAACTGTGTATCACCCTCGTGACATTCTCTTCCATACAATGATTAAATTATCAAAGCAGTGATCAATAATAAGTACGAAAAGGCAGATCCACACAATATTTGACATCTATAAACAAAATATAATATGCGGAAACACAACATTCTAGCAGAATATTACCCCTCTTCAAGACATTCAAATTCTAGGGTAGCTTTGTCTGTCTCTATCTCACAGATCACATCACCAACCTGAATCTGTTAGATCAAGTATAAAACAAAAATGAGAAGCAATAGAGATGTAATAAACCAGTATTCACCAATTCAAATGGAGAATGTACCACATTTGCAAATTTAATGCATACATTAAACATAACTAACCTTATCACCTTCCTTTTTCCTCCACTTAGCAATGTTACCCTGGTTCTGCAGGGAAACAAAGAATAGCAATCTTAAGCTTCAACAGGAGAAAGAAAATTCAACACAACTGAGCAGGACATATTAGCTTAAATCTGTTCTGAACTTTTCTTTTCTTACCATGGTTGGAGATAATGCTGGCATTTCAAGAACAACATGAGGAGGAAGCTCAGATGCACTAATCTTCACAGAACTTGTTTCTTGCTCCCAGTCCTCATTTCCAACATTTTGCTGAGACAATTTTTTCTCTTCAACCTCTGATTCACCAGCAACAGTAGCAGGGACTTTTTGTATATCCTCAGCTTCCTCAACCTAATGAAACGGTTGAAGTTAGTATGTTTTCAACAAATGGACTATAGAAAAAGAAGGAGCTAAGACATTGGAAATTACTGTTACTGGTGTAAAACATAAGATAACTAACGAAATATAAGATAACTTCTCATCTATTTTCAATGATTATTCGATTGCTCTAATACCAATTTGAAATACTAAAGTGATATTAGGATTAGGCTTACGAGAGAATAAGAGGAGAAATAATGAGAGGCAGAGAAAGAAAGAATAATCAGTTATAGTGGCTAGGTTGCCCTACACTCTCTATTTATAACTGAACAATATTAAGGTAATTACAATATTACCCAAGACTAATTAACTTATGTCTAATATAGAAATTAAGAACTCTAACATAAATAAAATATTTCCTTTTATATAATAGAAATAGTTTCAAAAAATAATAAAAAAACCTTTTACAAAAATCTGAAAAAAACAAAGTGCACATGGTGTGTTTACTCAAGAGGATATAATATATCCCAAATATAAATGGAATAAATGTTGAGCAGTATCACAAGTTACCGTAATTGCAATTGGCTGTCCCACAGGTACATCTTTTGAACCCTCAGGTACCATTATTTTAGCCAGAAACCTGAAGATAAGATTCCACCCAAATACTGTAAAAGTTTAAGAAGTCATAAATCACTTATTCCATTCAAAATTGACGTCACGGAACTAAATGTTTACGAAAACTATTGATCAGGATTGACAATGAATGCTGAAAATAATTGGAAAGCAAGCCACAATGATGTGCCAAAGCATAACTGCAGGAAACAAAAGAGACAACAAACTCAAAGAAAACAATTTTTGGAGGAAGCACCCGACGAAGAAAGGATTCCCATTATCTTTGCCAAGGAAAACTTTGATGAAAATGTGCTTTGCTCTAATACTAACCAACACAAATATGGCATATGAACATAGTGCGTTGTCCAACATATAAAATAAGAGAGTGAACATAGAATTACCCTTCTTCAAGACACTCAAACTCAAGGGTAGCTTTGTCGGTTTCTATTTCACATATCACGTCACCCAGTTATATGTGTTAGATCACATATTTAACACTCAAATGAACAAAAAGTGCAGAAGCAGTCAATGGTCTAATATATAAGTTTCAACAAAAAGATTTGAGTTTATGCAATAATCTATTAGTGTCACAATATTTAGCTTCAACAGATCACATAATATACCAACTTTCAATACAACTGACCTTATCTCCTTCTTTCTTCCTCCACTTAGCAATATTACCTTGAGTCTGGACAGAAGTAGGCATACATGTAGGTCATCTTAACAGAGAAGATAACATAATCAGAAAAAGGAAGTATCACAACTATTTCAAAGATCTATTAGCTTACCATTGTAGGAGATAAAGCTGGCATTCCGATAACTGTATGTGAAGGAAGGTCTGCAAGGACCACCACAATCGAATTAAAAGTTCAGTCCTTTACATATATAGGAGCACAAATACCAATTTATATATGTATCAATTTGCTCTTTTAAGCTTGGTGATCAGCCTCTCTAAAATGAGGGTAAGGCTACCTATGAAAATTTCAAAGTAACTTGACCATTTTAACTTAAACCCCAGCCGCACCGCAGGTCGCTCTCGGTCACTTCTCTTTACTCCTGCTCTCCACCTTCACTGTTTTTGATATCCCCCTAACTCAAATAAGTTCCATTTGTTTGTCTGCACTTCACTTGTTCACCATTTCAAGTATTTCATACCAAGATAAAAGATAGCCTAGATAACTTGATAGACAGCTAAATCCTGTCCCTCTTTGCCTAAACCAAAACGCCCTCTATGTTAGTATAGAGGAACTTGAGCTGGTGGCTAAACAATCAAAAAGGAAAAACAGGATTTGCATTGGATTGGGCTTAGACAAAGGCTGGCATAGCTTAGGGTAAGCATGGCGGGTTGACTTCCGAGTCTCCGACCCACTCTACTTGCATCCCCAAAAGAAGGATGGTTAAAAATTGAAATTAAAAATAATTGAAATTTAAAACATAGATGTTGAGTTTAGGAACTACGACTAAATTATTTGAAACTTATAATAATGCCAATCTGAGATTAACATGTGATAATACCTGAATCACATGCTTAATACTTGGCTCAACCAAACAACCAACCATTGTGACATCCAATGCAAGTAGCAGCAGGAAGTTCATGACTAAGTAGTATAAAACTCCATATACCGAAAGAAAAATGAATTACTAATTATCATCTTGAGGGGAAATTTGGAAAAGCAGTCAAGGTTGTCCTAAAGATAAAATTGGGAAACCTATACCAAGTTCACAGACAAGAACCTAAGCACATTTACGAATAGGAACTAGAGGATAAACAATCAAAACAGAGAACTGGAACAGAATGAAAACCACACAAGCTTCTTCAAGTTAAAGCTAGCATCCAAGAGATATATAATCATAGGAAATTAAGAAGAGATTCTAAATAGAATGGAACAGAGAATGTGGCACCTGCAGATGAAAGATATCTGACATTACTTCGCAACTGCAAAATCACAACCGACATTAGAAAACATAGTGTTATGGAAGGGATATCACTGACAGATTTTAATGTCTAACCTTAAGCTGAGAAGAATTATCACGAACTCCACCAAACAGCAACAAAGGTGTAGGCCTGGCAAAATTCATCATCAGGAAATTGCAAGGAAAATTAGGAAAAACTTAGTCGAACATTCAGCAGTTCAAATCCATGCCCAACCAATCCAACCTGTCCTTTGGAATTTATTTTTGGTATTTGACCCAAGTTTGGTAAGACATGGATTACTAATCAAGAATTGACCATCAAGATGACATCAAATACAATTGAATTCAGTTTTCTAACATTCCACTGCCTCCAAACCTGGAAAATTATGAATGGCTACGAAGTCATCTTTTCTCTTTTTTTCCTGATAAATATGTTTTTCAAATTTCTAAAATATTCTATGAGGTCATGTATGTAAAAGCGACAGATTTTTCTATGATCAATAATTTAGCATTACCTACCTTGTTTGACATGCAACCCACCCAATTCCTAAAAGAAAACAAAATTTTGGGCCAATTGAGGTGAGTTTGGACTAATGTTACCTAGAGCTTGGATCGATTAGGCACCCAAATGCAATACGATGCTTTGTCGATGTGTGGTGCGATGGGAGTAGACTTGGTTGTTTTGGATCGCAATTTACTTTGCAACTCTTGCATATAATTAATTTGAGAAATATTCAACTCACAATGAATCAAAGTATAGGTTTAAAATAACAAATATACATATAGTATCAGGGAGTAAATGGGTTTTTTTTTTTTTTGGGGGGGGGGGGAATTATGGTGATCTAGGTCGTGACCCTACCCCATTTGGGGTTGTGCCCCACAATAAAAGGGCACCTAGGTACCTATGATCCCAGTATCACTTGCTTGGACAGCAGAAATTCACTGCCAAAATGGGGTTCTATGTAGAACATGTTAGTTTAATTGCTTTGTCAATAGATTAATTCTCTAGAACCCAGTTGTATAAGCTTTAATGTCAACAAGCCAACGTGAACTATCACAGAACAAAATAATATTAAGCTTAATGGAAGTGCGTAGTCTAGGATCCCAAAACTAGAAAATAAGTGCTTTATGACAAACACTATTCACATAAAAGAGACAAGCTATGAAAATCCACTGATACAAACCTTGACAAAGTGCCATCACCATCAACAATAAAGTTCTGCACCCTGGAACAGCTACAACAATAACCAATTACATAAGCAGCGGCGGAGCCGGGATTCTATTTTAGACGAGGTAAAAACATCAATGAAAACAATCAACCAATTGGTACTAGAATTTTTTCCATACCTCCATTAATAAGGAATAAATTGGGTGTTCTTCATATAAAGAAATTCACTAGTGCAAGTATGAGAAATATTTTATGATCCAAGACTACGAAAATAAAAACAATATCAATTCAGCCCTACTAAAATATGACCAAGACAATAATTTTTTCATAGTACATTTCAACTCAATCATGTATTAAATTGAAACACAACCTACGTTTGTTATAAATCCCAATAATCGACTGTTATTGATTAATTCTATGCTAAATTTTTCACTAATTTCTTTTTAATATACACAACCAAAAAGTACGTACAAAATTATTTTTCATCTTGTTATGAAGCCTAGTTGAGTTCATGGTCCATGTTGTTGAGAAAGAGCAAAAGCGCTTCTAGGCTAGTATATTTTACCATTTGCATATGTTTATATAATATTGGTTTATGAGCAACTAAATTGTCAAAAAATAAGAGGAAGTGCATTAAACAAGGATCAGGGTTTGGGCAATACATATGATGAGTTAGAATATTTCACTAGGTTAGGGGGCGAGTGGATCATTAACTAACCAAAAACAAAAGGAGGGACACTATACAAATTTCTGAAAACTTGAAGGGGGCAATGTAACAAAATTAACAAAATGATATTTTTATTATACTACATATCACAGTCTTCTTCACAAATCAGTGGGGACAACTGCCCCCACACCTTAGAGGGTAGCTCCAACCGTGTACGTAATCATAGATGTGCAGTCTTTTAGAAAAGGAAGTACATCAAATGAAAAGTATAGAACATATGCCCAAGAAATGAACGAACTTGTATCAAATTCTATGACACGTGACCACAGCTGCAGGTGTCAGGTGGGACATGTTTACAGAAGTTTGCTATGTCCAACAAGTAAATTTAAGAAAATGGGACCCAACTAAAGAGATGGAAGTGTCTATAGAATACGAAATTAGATATATCATACAAGAATGAGGTCAAGGACAGGGATAAAAAATTGATTTTGGCAAATTGCTTTGGTTCCTAAGAAACGAAAACGTTTCAAAAATGTTTTGGAAACAGAATGGAAATTAAGGAAAATTTTTGAAACATAGCAAAACACTTCAAAACATACCGAAGCACCTCAAAACATGGGACTTAAGATATTCAATAACTAATTCATTTCGATTTTCATGGAAACGAAAACGTTTCAACCTTTTTGAAATGAGATTTTGAAACGAGATCTTAATCCTTTGTCAAGCAATGGCCTAAAGGTTCAAAACCATCCAACCTGTTGTTAATGCAAGTTTGAGCCCATTAGGGATAAGGGGCAAGATTTTCGGAAAGAAAAGAAAAGACATATAGTTCATGGCTTTTTATGCAATTGTATGATAAATATGTAAATATTGAATAATGTGACTATGTGAGAAATTGCTAAAATCCTGATTTCGATGTCTTTTTAGGATGGAAAATGCTAAATAGACTTAAAAAAGTGACCTAAAAACTTGACTTGATGAATTATTACCATTGAATAGGTAGTAGGTCCCAATAAATACTGGAACTCACTGTTAAATCAATGACAAATTTAATTTTTTAATCATTAAGTTAATTTTTTAAGACTGTGTAGAATTAATCTTTAAGGATTATGGGGTCCTGCAAAAACACTAAATAGAATATAGGATGTAAGGTCTTTTAGGATTATGTGGGTTCTGTAAAAACATGGTCTAAAAATAGTACCTGAGTCTCACTTTTATCAATTGAAGCAAGTGAGCATCCCAATGTCATGGTGTTCAATGACAACGGGGGTTCATCACCCACTACTTCTACTCCAAAAACTACAATCTGGTACAAATAAGGATGCTTCTTTCTAGCTTTGTATCGCATCCATTTTGGTTGATGGCGTCCTATCACATAGAATGGAGAATGGAGGAATGAGAAATCCAAAATTTTCTTAACAAATGAGTCAAGGAATGTTGAGCATAGTAGCTTGACCCGGGCCAAAGTGACAAGCCTAACAAATAAAGATTCAAAGAGACATTATATCATCTCCACCCAAAGCCTTTTCTATCTTAAGATATGTGTAGGATTACTCACCAGTTGCTGAGTTTAAACATATATAACAAATATAAGGGTTCCCTACCGACAATTTGTTGCGGATCAAGATTAATATCAAGCCTCCTTTCTGCTAAATACCCATACATGAATATGACAGTAAGAAAGTTGACATAAAGTGAAGAGTCAAAAAGAGATTAATCACAAATATAAAAATCGTAAAAGAAAATGTGTTCTCTATATAAAATCTAATGGTGCATGTTTCCATGTTTTTCACCCCGTAACGAGACTTATTTGGCCATTTGAACACCATATCTTAGGTATACTCTTTTTCTCCCTTCAAATCATGTACCTAGATGGAGATAGGCATAGATTTCTCTTTTGGGAGAATAAGTGGTGGGTTGACCAAACTTTCAGTCTTCTTTTACTATCTTATTAGACTTCCTAGGCTTCACTTCTTGCAAATTTTTTGATTCATTCAAATCTTACACTCTCCCATAAGATAGTTTTTCTGGAGAAAAAAAAAATCAAATACGCATGAGATTGAAAAATTATTAACACTTTCAACCAAAATCATCATATGTAAAGGAAAGGTGTTGATACTATGAAAGTAGAAATACTTTAACCCAAGATCAGTTCCTAGATCCTTTCCAATATGCATAGATTCTCTATATTCCTCCCCACCAAATTGATTCGAAAGGCAAAAGTCGAAAGTTAAGCCATGGCTTCAGTCAATACCCCGATGAACATTTCACCAATGACTCTCAACTAAAAACTTATTCAAAGCTCTTAGACCTAATTGGCCTCCTATTTTATATGGAAGGTGCAGAACTGCTTGGGTGTTACATACAACCTTGCTCAATGGAGAAACAGGTTAACTGCAAATTGGAGGCATACATAACTTCTTGATTTCCACAAAGGAAAATATCTTAGCATCGCTTAAAGGCCTCCACAAAGCCTCTTTTATGTGAATCTAATGTTGTGTCACCGAATATATTTGGGGATTAGGTTGAATGGTCAATTGGCTGAAGATATAAGCATTTGAATCCTAGTTTTAGTCCTATTTTGTCATGCCCCGGATCAGTAGTGTGTGAAAAGCGAGCCTAGGCGCTCGCATAGGCAAAAAGTAAAGTGAGGCATTGAGCATGCCAAGCAAAGCGAACATAAACAAGAGAAAAGCGAGCAAAGGTGAAGAAGCGAAAAAAGCAAATAAAGCGATCGCTTTAATTAACTTTTTATCTTTTTGTCTTAAACTATTACTGGTCATTGGATTTATGTAAATTAGATAGATAATTAGATATGTTAACCATAGCCGATTGAGCCTCATCTATATATATGTAAACTAATCCTAATCACCAAATTGATTTGAGCTAACAAACAGTGGGAAACCTCTTCTCCTCTTCTTACATCGTTCGCAAGAAAGTATGTCACTTCTCCCCTTTTTCTTCTTCTTCTTATTCTTCTGACCCTGAACTAGATTGACTAGGGAAAAATGGCTTGCAACACTCACCAGGGAAGCCCACTGCAGCAAACTCTCTGGCCTGCATCAGATTGAGACAGACACTGAAGGTATGTCTATGTCCTCTGATGTTTCTCTTTTTCTTCTTCTCTTCCTCCTCTTCTAATTCTTCCCCTCTTCGATTTCTGGTTCTACTGGAACTTTCTCTTCCTCTTCTACTATGTTTCTATTTTCTTTACTGTGTTGCTATCATGCTGATTCTGCTTCCTCCTCTTCTGTTTTGTTTCTATTTTTTTTATCTTGTTGATTCTATTTCTAGTTTTGCTGGAACCTCTCTTCTACTTCTTATGTGATGCTGTGTTATTTAGTTATGTTTAGACTAATTTTTGTTGTTGTTGTTTTTAGATCGCTCATTTTTTATTATGCTGCTTTGTTATGCTAGTTCAATTGTTTCTCTCGAAAATAACTAATTTAATAGAAAATCATATAATTTTTGCTATTTCTTCCTATTTGTAACGGAAAGGATTTCATCTGTGATGGTTGAGTAGTAATGACCAAATTTTTTTCCGGCAAAGGTGTAAATTTGAAGAGTACTACCATAAATGATAGTTTTTTTCAATTTAAATATTTATAGTTTTGGTTGCATTAAAAATTTAGTATTTGTAAAGTTAGAACTTGAATATTTAGAGGTAATTAAACTAAAATATTTACTTATTTTTTTATTGTTCGCTTCACCTCGATGAAGCGCTCACTTCGCCTCTCGCCTAGGCCTCAAGAGACTTGTTCGTTTCGGTTCGCTTTACGTATTAAATAACATTACCCCAGATTTCATTTTCTATTTCCGAGGGTGATCTAATAATATTATTCCAAAGTAACTCGAAGTAATACATTGATTATCATTTACAATATTTCTTTATGATATGATTGTAAAATTTCAGAACTATTCAAAAACAAATTTATGAGTAACCTTTTTATGAATTGATTTGTCTCTAAAAAGCCCAAATTGCCAACATATATCCTCCCGACGAGCTAATCATTTTTAAAATATTAGTAAACATCCCCAAACAATATGCTTAGTAGGTTAACCATATTCCAAGATAAACAAGTTTGAAAATAGATAGTTTTTTATAGTGGATGAAAAGTATATAGTCAATACATATTTAAAAAGATTCTTTGTCGAGCATCAAAGAATGAAATATTTGAGTACATAAAACAATGGATCAATATCCAAAAACATGCTTTGGAAGCATAAATAAATAAAGAACCTTTTTTTGAATATCAAAAATATTGTGTTATACCAGAAAACAAAGTAAGCATCCTAAGTTTCACAATTATCATCAAACTTTTTAGGGATTTTCACACCATGAAGATATGCTCCTTACTACATCAACCAGTTCCCAAACCCGAAGGCCATGGGCCTCCAGGTACTTATGACACCATGAGTCCCTCTACGGACTCAACATCATAAGCCCTCTAATGTTGAATCCTATGTGCACACACGTTTTTTATGAAAAATAGTTTTCAAAAATACTTTGTTCCATAACCGAAGTGGAAATATCATAATTAGTATAGTTTTCAAAAAATACAATCGGAGAAAAAATATCTGAGTTTAACAAATCAAAATATGAGAACATGATGATTAAGTTTATGACGTAGTAGAAAAAGTATGAATATCATAACAAGTATGAAAAACTGAGTAGATCTTCGAATAAGAGAAAATTTACCATTAATATGATTGACAAATTATTTGGACTAAAAATGTCTCGAATTTAGCAAATAATCGGATCATATAATATATTTAAAGTAATAGTAGTTCAAAAATAATAGTAATATTATGAGGAATATGAAAATGCCAAGCTCATCTTGGGATATGAAAAACACACCGACGTATCAAATTAGTTTGTCAATTTCAACACCGAATGCTATCAAAATAAGATGTGCATGAAATATTAGGATTCATCATGTTATTATCGAGACAGACTTAAACTCAAAACATCCTTTAAGTTGAAAAACTAAGTTGTACGACATCGAATTAGCTTGAAATCAAGAAAACGTCCTAAAATGAAACTATTTCCAAATGAAGTCAAATTTAGGCGGGTTGGAAAACCCTTGAAGAGAGGATTGTTTTGATCAAAACAACACTCCCATGGGGTGTCTCACGCATCATCATGATGGGTTGGGTTGTTTGGGCACTATTCATCATCTTCAACCTCTAGCTGGGTCATTTTGCCCCAAGTTTCCCTCTCGGTTTTTCTTTAATTTCTCTCTTATTTCTCAACCTTTTTAAGTGATTCAAAATCTATAATCTTTGTAATTGAGTACTCTATCATCTAGTGTCAGGTTCCGTTCAATCTGTTACTCAGAACTCACGAATTTGAGCTCCAAAGTCGAACATTACCAAAACCCGAAGCTCTGCAACCTCAAAATTGATCAACCAAATGTCATTTTTTTCCTAAAATCTAACACCAAATTCAAGTTCCAGGCACCAAAAACCTTAAGAATGGCCCTTCTTTCAAACCAAAACTCAAGATTAAGAAAACCTAAAACAAAAAATCAAGATTTAAAAATTTTCGGATTTCTTGATTTTGACCACTTTCACTCGTTCAAACTTCAAATTAGAGAAATATAAATCATCCTTAAGTTTCCAAAAACCTTATGAACATTTTGATTGTGGCCAAAATCAAAGAAATTCACAATGGAAGGTCTCTTTGACCATCTCATAGAACACAATATACAAACTCACTTAATGACAAAGCAAGCAAAGCTTTTGATTCGATTGCAATATCTTATCTTGTGATTCCTTTTAATATCTGCAATACTGTAAAATCCATATCATATCTAGGCATAAAATTACCATACTTACCACATCAACGTTTCACTCAACTATACTGGCATATTTTCTTTGTTTCCAACTCATTCTCTCTCTCCCTCCCTCCCCATTTAGTAGCAATAATGACTTTGAACTTTTGGCATGCCATTACTTCCTAACATGGCATTTGAACCATCTTAATTCACTGGATTCAATGCTTATTCTTTCAACAGACCACCTCTTCACTTTCTGTTCTCTGCCACTAATTTAATTTTTATCTCTGAACAATACCACAATTATTTTATTTCTAAATGTAAGTTAATGACATATCAAATATAATGAATGCTGCTTAATGCCAAAGAAGGCATTCCGTCTCTCTCTCTCTCTCTCTGTATAATTTACAAAGCCAATTAGGTGCATTAATTCCTTGAACAGATTTATGCTTTGGCTTTTGGTTTTTGACAAAACAGAAATCATCATTATCTATCTCTCCTTCTCTCTACCCCTTTCTATAACGGCAAAAAATAAATAATAGGAAATTAATATACTAAGAAATTATCTCTCTTTAGTCGGCAGCCATAGCTGCTCTTCCATACCTAGACGCTGAACAATAGAGCTCTCCAATTGGGTACAATACCCTTGCAAATCTATAGCAAATGAAGCTCTGACACCAACTTACCCGAAAGATCAAATGGCTCATCGCTCTCATTGTATTTCAGGTCAGTCTCTCTTAATATTCTTCAATCTCAAATTTTTATCTATATGCACATTTATATAAGCATATTAATTATTCTATGAAGAATAAAATCAGAGAACATAGAGTAGAAGGGAAAAGAAGCAGGAAATATGCATTCATTGATTTGAAAAACTTAGAAAACTAA